CGTCTTCTGTTTCCCTGTATACAAAAGAGCTACAGTGGATAGCGACCTCTGTTTTAAATGATGCCTCCCACCTGTTACAGCTTCTCCCCTCTGGACCGAGGTTCTTAGTTCCAAGGTGCAAAACAAAGCCTTATAAACACAGCTTTGTACCTGTCGTTTTCACTGAGATTAATAAGTTGTAGTAATATTTATTACTTATTTAGCTGTTTTGAGTGACTGTTGTAGTTCCTGACTGGTGGAACCTCGAGCGCTTTCATCATGTTTTATTGTGCTGTCTTATGTCATATGTGTTTGTTATCTTGCTGCAAAACGAATCTACCTATAGGTAAAAATAGAGTAAGCGCCCCTACCAAGTCTGTGTTCTTGTGCAGTTCAAGTGACGGCTTTAGGAACTAATTTCACTCCAAGTCAAAACATGCCTTCTATAAAGCAGAGGTCCCCAGTGTCTGTGACCCCACCACACGGCTAAAAAAACCCACTAGTTGTCTCTGACAATTACAACCTCTACTCCTCCTCACACTTTTTTCCTACAAACACACATTCTGTTTCTCATCCAACAGAGGTTAAAGGTGTGGAATGGGATGATGTATTGACAATTTTGTCATGGTGGTGGTGTCATCCTGAGGCAGAAAGGGGATAACGAAGTGCATCCTGCTCTGCTGCACCTATATGTACCGGGTGAGTCATCAGTGAGCGGGCAGCAGAGGTGAATGGTTGTCACCATGTGACTCAGTGCAGGTTGAGGACGTGTCCTCTACATACACTCTTCATGCACCAAGTCATGATTTAAAATTTGATCATAAACAGGTTTAAAAGTTGAATAACTGAATGTACCTGTAAAGTGGGACAGGCTGCACAGCATCGCATTAGGTTTTCTCAAGCTCATTGTTAAAGGAGCACAGTAAAGAAGCAGAGTCAGAGGGTGCTAATGATGTCGGGCTTGGACTGATGGTTGCCCTTTTCTAATAACCACACCTGCTTTATCTGTGACATTAACAGCCTCTCCAGATGATAAAGCCACTTCACCAAGGTTATTCCTGTCCTCTGATGTGGTTTATGAGGGTCCATATCCTTTGCCTTGATGCTACCTTGACTCCTCTTACCCTATGGGACTATTAATAGAATGGTGAATGTGATCTGATGATTGCATTACTACCAGCCTGTTATCTGAAATGAAACGACATGCTGCAAACATCTCATTACCCATTTTGTTTTGGTCCAAACAAGACTGGCAAAAACATGTTAGCTGTGACGTTTTGCTTTGTAAACACAACCTCCAGTAATGCACAGAAAAGAAAAATCACTGTTCTGAATCTGTAAAAACACTGGAAGCAAATTCCCATCACATGACCAACAGACCACGGTTCCCAGGTCACATGGTCACTGTATTAGTTATTTGGAGTTTTAGAAAAGAAATTTGAAACGAAGAAGATTAGTTTCACTGGTTAACATTGTTTTCTTAGAGTCGTCTTCCTGCAGATTTAACAATCAAAGATGACCTGCTGTACATTTTCCTGCCAAGTCACCTCTTGTAGTTGTGCAAGTTATAACTGTGGGTGTATGACTTGTCAGACTGTCTTTTCTCTCCTGCCTTCATTCAGTATTGGTAATTTAACAATTAAAGCTGCAAATCTAAATCATACTGTATTGTAAGATGGAGCTAAGAAACTCCAAACCTGTGCTTCAAGACAACATTTCCATAACTTGAATTTCCTCACTGTGGGATCAATAAAGTTCTACCTTACCTTACCTAGTTGCCTTGGCTGAACCACACAGCGCAGTAGCTTAGCTATACAGGTGGCACTTCAGAAAATACCATGGTGTACTTTTTCATATCAAGGCACCAAAGAAGTTTCATGCTGTGAGATTCCATTTTGTCAAGAACAGCCACCCTGTGAGAGTGAACTTGGAGCAGGACAACCTTTTCTGCTTAGAATAACTTTTAAACACATTCATTTTGCATGAGTTAAATATGTTTAAATATAATACATAGACGCCCTGCGATGGATTGGCGACCTGTCCAGGGTGTACCCCGCCTTCGCCCGATTGCCGGCCGGGATTGGCTCCGGCCCCACCCGTGACCCCGTTCAGGGACTAAGCGGTAGAAAATGAATGAATGAATAATACATAGACACTAGACAAATATATAATTATATTTGAGAGGAAACATAACATTAAGTGGCTTTTGAAGTAATACCAATGTTCATATTTGTCTGTCCACTGGTGCATGAAGCACATTGGACCAGAGTAACATTTGTTAAAACTGATATGTTACATTCTAGTTTTTCATCCTTTGACCCTCATCATTGTTTATACCAAGACAACAGTTTTTGCAACACATTCATGCTCCCCAAAGAATAAACCCTTCAAATTTCTATCTATTTATTTTTACTACAACACCACCACTACCACACATTTAGCACCACCACTGGTAGGGTTTTAAAAAGAGCTAGTAACAGTTTTACAATTGTGGTGTTTTCAAAACGATTTTCATTCCTTAAGAGGTGTTTAAATCTTATATCCACACATTTGGGATTGTGCACCATAACCCTTCTGTGAAATAAAATCTTTCTATGTATATGTAAAAAAATACTGTTTATTCTATTGTTGCTTGACTGCATTTTTTTTATTTTGCATTTTTGTCCTTCCTCTGTGTAATTTATAGCATAATCTTGTGTCTGGCCTGTTATTCAGTGCATTGTTTGCTGTCATTCAACAGGTCTTACCTGATTCTCACATAGCCGTGTCTCGCTGCTGCAGGGCGCATTGAGATGCTGCTGCTGGGCTGAAATAACCTGTTGAGAAATGAGGACTGGTTCCTCAGGTGAAATTCGTGTGTGCCAGGAGGAGACAAAGTCTTCATCACCTTGCTGTTGTGTAAGCCTAGCCTCTGGAGCTCTAATCATACCCTGCTGTCTGGGGGAGCAGTGGTTAGCAACAGGAGCTTGTGAAGCAAAATTCATAATCAACCCCTCGTTGACAGAAACCAAATAGCCCTATTTCACCTAGCCCCCATCTGTTGTTTAGAAAACCAAGATGTGAAGAGAAAAGAAAGTATTGCATTCTGTCCCATGAAACAAAAAGCTGCTGATCTAGGCAATCTAAAGTCTGTACAGCTCAGTTTATGCTTGGTCACGCAGCACCCTTCTCAGTTACCTCTCAGCTGCACCTCATCAGAACCTTGGTGACCATAAGATGATGGTGAAATAATTAATCTGACTGAATGTTTTCAGGCTGCAGGTTGTGTTAAGATGGCTGCTGTTTAATTTATGGAGCATTGAAACAAACATTTAAATATACAATGATAAAATTATTTTGAAAGAAAATGGCAAAGAAAGAAAGAACAGGAGCTGAGTGCTGAGGTTTTGTATGATTGCTTTTAAACCATTTTATTTTCCACACAAAGAAGAACAGCACATCTAAAGTGTTGGACTTTGCAGATGAACATTTTTCTATGTAAGATACAAAAACACAAACAGGTGAATATACAAGGAAGCACAGTGTCTCCTTGAAATTGTATTTTTGCCTCCTCCGGCTGTCATTTGTAAGAAATGAACATTGTTTTTTTCTTCTTTGTTATAACAAACACACAGCTGTTTTTATTTAGATGAATGTGCACTGATGCTTGTCAGAAGATGATGGAGAGTCGGTGCTAGTACCGTTCACAGAGGACCATTTGCTAAATGCTCAAACAACCATTATGACCTCATCTCTGATTGCTGTTTATTCTTTAAAGGAATGGCTGGTTCACTTCTTCCTTCACGGTAAAAAGACCTATTGGCCGTCCTCCTTGCTTTAAATGCCTGCATATGTTAGCTGAATTTCCCCCGGGATCAATAAAGTGTCTATCATCATCATCCATCATCATCATCATCATGCTGGCAAGCTGTGCTTCTGCTTCAGCTGCTGTCAGACCACTTAGAGAACAGAACCCAGGCTACTTATAGATATCAGATAAAAGAAAACAGTTCACGGCTGAAGAATTAGATGTGAGCTCATGTGGTCAGAAGGCGCCAGGAGACTGAAGGAAGGAAAGATGCTTTTTTTAATGCACACGTATATCAGATGGCTTTCTTCTAGACTCTGAATGTATTAGTTGCCTTTAGCTTGGTCTCATCTATTTACTACCTGGGGGTGAGGCTGCAGATGTTGAATCAATTTGTCCTTTCAGGCTGAGCAAACCAAAGCAATCTGCATAACTTGCATGTGAAGGGCTTCACAATCCATCAACACTGACTTTACTACAAAGTGACAATAGATCATGGTCTGAGGATACAGCTCACAAGATACCTAGTTAAATTAATGAGGTGTGCTCAAGTTGTTGTTTACAGTAGGTTTGAATGATCCGTTTATTTAATTCATGTTGAAAACGAACCAGGACAATTTTAAAATCACTGCTAAGCCTCCCTGGCATCTGGTTTGCTGCAGGTCATTCAGTCTGCTCACAGTGTTGCTGTGAAAAGCTGCTGCAGGTGCAAACTGTAGAAACTGGGAAGGAAAACATAACAGTTTAGTAAGTAGCTATACTGTATATCATAAATAGGCCAGTGTTGTGATTTGTGGTGCTACTGCCTTAGGAGTTTCAGTCTCAACAAGCCTAAGTAATAAAACAGGAGTTTTAATCAAAAAGGAGAAGCCTGTCACCATCACAGTTAGGAAAATGGTCAACACAGATTTTATTCTGATGTTCAGGAGCGGGACCACACCCGAGTACACGCTGCTCCCATTTCTCATTACATTTAAACCACCTGTTCAAACAGTTTTCATGGCTCAATTTTATTTGTTGCTCAGTTTAACAAAGACAACTTAAGTGATTCCTCCAATGCTTCACACCTCCCTCAGTGGAAAACAACTTTTGTTTTGGCTGCATACAGTATAATCCTATCTGCTGTTCTGTTTCCTCTCCCTCTCTCCCTCCATATTTTTCCTCTCTCTCTCCCAGTCTGGTTTGATTGGTCAGTTTTCTGTCAGTGTGCACTGATAAACCACTGCTGGGGGTGGAGATACCCGCAGCCTGCTCTCTAACACTGAAGAACACGGCTATAAAGTCTCTGCTGCACAGCTTCACCGGTGCCTCCTTGACACCACTCGCAGCAGTACTGACTGTGGATCTTTAACATTCCACCATGTGTAAAGGACTTGCAACACTTCCCGCAACATGCCTGAAAAGGTAAGACCCAAGTAGAACAACCGGGGGATTCTGAAAAACTAAATGTAGAAATATTTTTTTGTTTTTGATGATATGAGCATGATCTGTGTTTTTATTAACTAAAACATCAGTGTAATAAAATGGTAAATATTGAAAAAGAGAAAGCTGGCCATCTGCAAACCATTTGTTTACACAAATGTTCAAACAGGTCTTTGTGCAGATATTATTAATGAAAACAAAGTGAAACCACATAAATTGCATTTCACTTACTGTCCTGGTCTGCGCCTCTCTACAGTGCCAAAGACATCAAGCACAAAATAAGCTTTTTACTCCAGAAGCCTGAACTGCAACCAACGGATCAGAAGCCAATAAAAGAGAAGACCGCCGCCACAGCTGCTGCCAAGAGGTCAGAGGAACTCATTTCTCGTAGTCTGCTTTGTGTACAGTTTAAAACATTTGTTCTGATTTGTGTTTGTTCTCGTGAGTTCTAAGATCTCAAGAAATCAAAAATCATTTGCAACTTGGATTTAACCCTTGTGACTTAACTTTTAAGAATTGTCTTCTCAAGGTCAGAGAGAGAAAATATTGGCTTGTGCCAGTGTTTGAACAGCTGAATGAATCACTGGAACTTTATTGTAGGATTCCTTTGGGTTGTCTGAGCTTTGGAGAGAGAGATGACAGGGTGATGAGAAAAGAGACAAATGGGTTGCAATAGAAAAAGTGCTGGTGCTCAAGGTGCTTCTTTATTTCACAGGAAGCAGATAATTCCCTGCTTGATCCTTTAATTGTTAGGTTCAGTGGTATTTGCTTCATTTTTCCAAAAGCAGCTTGTGTTTCTTTAATGTGTTTGTAATTATGTTACTGTTGGAGAAAATCTGTAAAACCTTTATGGGTGACGAATTATACTGTTTCTGAAATGGAATTACATTTGCTAAAGAACAAATTATGTCTCGCTGTGGGCTTGTTCTGGAGTTAATGACCTGGCCTGGGGCCGTGCTCCCTCAGGAAGCCTGTTATTGCTCTTTATGAGCAAATTAGCATTGATCTACCTGCGCTGACAACGCTTACCTTGACCTTTCCTCTTCTGCAGCACATCTCCCATTCAGAATCATATAATCAGCATTCAGTTTTCCAGTTATTGTTCAGCAGCAGTATCAAAAGACAAAGACGACCTGTAGAGACTCTGTCACATGCATGGACACTGGATCTTCATGGATCATGTATAGCTGTAATGATTAACTCTTTAATTGGATTATTATACTGTAGGCTTTGCTGTGCACATGTCAGATGTTGCTGCTGCTATGATTGGATTTGCTGCCATTACTGATCAGTGAATTGGTGTAGGATCTGGATGATCTGTGCTCACTGAGAACAAGCTGCACTGCTACAAAAACCTTCATAAAAAATGTTTATTTACACAATAGAAATTATTTTATACAAAATTCCCAATGGGACTATATTCCTTTTGGGATAACAACTCAACATGGATACTGAAAATGGTAAAACGCTGAATGAAACCATATCAGACATCCTGAACACAAATCTTGTGAATCCCTGTGAAGTATATATACTGTATATATATTTTAAACAGTCTTATTTAAAAGGCTTCTTTGCCTGTCTTTCAGGGTTCCTACTGCAGCTGAGGTGGAGAAATGGAAGGAGTCTTTCAGACATGTGATGAGCAGTGAAAGTAGGTGTTACATTATATTTTTCCATCTAAAAAAAATGTAATAACTTGAGCAAGGCTAACGAGGATTTCTTCAAATCTTCAGATGTTTGACACTAATCATACTGACGCAAACTGTCAGATGAATGCTAGACTCATTAGTTCTCCAGGGTCTCTCGAGGTTTATAAAAACAATCCCACACAACTAAGAACGTGACTCTTCTCATGTGACACAATGGTGCTGCTGTCATGGGAGTATTATCAGACAAGGTCATGACCTTCACATTCACTGCTAATTTTTACCAGTTAGGCTTAATCTCTTGCATTACAAGGAACAAAATTTAAAATAAAACAGCAATAAAGCAGATGAGTCACTTTCTGAGACACTGCTCAGATTCCCAGACACACATAAACACATGTTTGTCCAGTTGTATTTGTCAGACCGCTCACTGACCCTAACCTTAGCCAACACAACTAAGAATCTAAACAAACCTAATTCTAACCTGAACCTTACATTGGATCTGAACCTCTCAGTTAACTATTTGAGTGGGTGTACGAAAGTGATGGCCTATCAAAATGTCCTCACTCCCTTGTTATGAAACTCAAGCTGGTCCTCACAACACACACAAACACACACACATACAGGCACTCTGATGCATTCTCATGCTCTGGTCTTCTGCTACGTGTCGCGAGGCACTACTCAATAGCCCCCCTGGGGGTGCTGACCAGTGCCGGGTGCGTACGTGTGTGCGCATAGGCCCTTTGAGAATTGCACTGTGTGTGTATTTGGACACAGAAGGGAAACCAGCGGAAACCAGCTGAGTTCTGACCGTCTCCATTCTGTGAACTTATCCACTGACCTCCAACATTGTCATGTCTTCATCTGTCCGCTCTCGCTGGCTGGCCTGATCTTCTTTTGTTTATCTTATCATGGCCTCAGTGGTCCTCTCAGTCATGTAGGGTTTTGGATTTTGTGTATTTAAAAAGACAGGATGCAGTTATCACTGCTAGAGTCTGATTAGCTTTGGGTCAGTGTGACCGATTCTGCTGCATCATTCCTCACAAATCTGGCATCCCAGCAGGACAGATTTAGGTTATTAGAATTACTTGCACACAACATGACTATATTTACCGATAAGAATTGTGCATAACATGGGATATAGGGATCACACCAATGCAGCTTTCATACAGTCTAAATTGTTAAAATTTTTTGATTTAGTGGGATATAAGACTGCTGTGTTTATGTATAAAGCCAGGAACAATTTATTACCTGGTGGAATTCAATGTATTTCCATAAGTGGTGTAAAACTATGGAATAATTTAAATGTGGACATAAAAAATAGTAATAGAATTGATGAGTTTAAACATAAATATAAAGGTATGTGTCAATCAAGATATATATTAATTAGGTGGAACATTGTGGGTGTGGTGTATGAATGTTAACACTAATGTTAATGTTAATAATTCTTTAGTATATTATTTGTGTGGCATAGAAGATATTTAACTATGAATGTAATTATGCTATGCTTAGGATTTAAAAGTTGTAAGATGATGTCATGGGGTAGGACTAGATAAGTCTAACTTCTTCCTACTTCGTTCAAGCATGTACTAGGTATAAGTAAATTGATATTGGATTATTATTGTTGGATATGTGTGAAATTACATGTGTTGACATATCAACTGTTTTACATGCTTGAATAAATAAATCAAATCAATCAAAAAATGTTCATATTCCTTTAACGTTGCATTGATTTATTACAACATTTATTATTATTTTTTGTTAATGATACCTTATAAATCAGCTTTTTATCTCAACCCTCTAGACTTGCACTTGTGGGTTTGGTTGTGCACTGGATATTAAAAAGCAGCATATGTTTTCTGTCTGTATTAGCTGGTCTTGCAGTCTTCACCAGCTTCCTGAGGTCAGAGTTCAGCCAGGAGAACATGGACTTCTGGATCGCCTGTGAGGAGTACAAGAAGACCACGCCTTCCAAGATGGCGACCAGGGCCAAGCAGATCTTCCAGCAATATGTTGAGGCAGATGCTCCTAATGAGGTAATTAACTGAACAGGAAGAACAGTCCCTTCAGTTTTAGCAATTGAGTCTTTTGATGGTTGAACTAAGATAAAACGGTGATCCTCTTAGTAGTATTACCACTACTGCCCTTCCACTGTTCTGATTCCTAGTATGACATCAGGTTCATGCTCTTAAAGTCCCAGTACATTTTGTCTTCAGCATGTTCACCTTTGATTTTCTCTTCCCCCTGTCATTTGAAGGTAAACTTAGATGCAGAAACCAGAGAAACAACCAGACAGAATGTTGAAAACGCCTGCCCACGCTGCTTCGACGGGGCTCAGAAAATGATCTACACCTTGATGGAGAAAGACTCCTACAGGCGTTTTCTCAGCTCCAAACTGATTCAGGATCTGTGTCAGGTGCAGAGCACCACTGCTGCGCAGGAGAAGAGAGAGAAGAAAGAGAAGAAAGACTGTGGCTGTGCTGAGGACAGACAGGAGTTAACTGGGGGCGCCTAAACAGGAAGGACCCAGGGGAGAGTTACAGAAGGTGCCAAAGACTGAAAATGTACGTAGGACAGACACAGGCGAAGATTGATTTGTTACTGTACTTGAGTGTCTAATGTTTATAGTTTAGAAAACGTCCCAAAAGCTCATGTGATATGTAGTCAAGACTTTACATCTTTTATGATACTTTTACATTCTGCTACTTCCTAGACGTTTTTCACAGTCATTTGAGGGTTTCAGATGGATACTCCACGGCCACTGAATTTACCATCAGCTGTCAAAGGTCGATTGTGATGAAATATTTCAGTGTACAATATACAGGTGCAGATGATGTTTACATATTTGCATCGTGAAGCTTATTTTTTGTTCCTGATTTTATCACAAAACACAACCTGCTTTCCAAGTCACGGCCAGGTTTTATTGATACTTACAGCAGAAAACAGCTACCTCCACCAAACCGACACACCGTCACTGTTTGTTTGTTTTTTTTTGCTATCACTGGAGGAGCCCGGATTATTTGTTTTAAATGAGTAATAACAATAGTTTTCAGTAATATATCAAGTCATTTTTAGCAAAGGCCACACTTGGCTTTAAGTGATGACACATAATTCATATGTGGAGTGATATTAGTTGTAGTGTTAAAGGATTCCTTCATTTCTAGGTTTTATGCACTTTGGTTAATTTAAAATTTAAAAATAGGTAAACCACAACAATGTGTTTGTCATACATTCATCCACTATATAATAAGCTTTATACTACTCACTACATGTTCATACAGCAGCAGCAGGGATGAGGCTGACATCTACAATATGCCTTCATCACCTAATAATGTGCCGATGTAAAACCTGCTGTATATCTCAAAGATAAGTCATTGTAACTACTGGCTAGGCTGTATAAATGTGTCGACATGATCTCTGCACTGTGCAAATGTTGACTTTGTCCAGTGAGAACTTTAAGCATGCTTTAATATGGCAGTATTGATTTTTGGTTGCATGTCATATACTGTAGTTACCAAATAGTAGGAGAAAATGTCAAACTGTGACTCAGTGGATATTTTTAAGTTCCACTGTAAGTCAGACTGCCATGTTTAGGTGTTCGTCTTACTGTATTTGTGCAGGGTGCTTACTGTGTTCACTTTAATTAAATATAATTTTGTGGCCTTACATGCTAAATTGTTTTATCAACTGTGATAAACTGAACTATGATGCAGATATTTATTAAATGATGTTATCTTATTGATGTCATATCTGTGACTATTTACAAATAAAATGATAATCAGAACTTTAGTCTTTTTCATTTGGAAATGTCTAAGAGCCATGTTAGCAGCTGTATGAGGCTGCACTTAGCTACATCAGCTCAAACTGCTCACAATGACACTGTTAACCTGCTGATGTTAGTAGTATGTCATCATTTTATCACACCAGTCTTAGATTAGCAAGCTAACATTCAATAATTACACTGAACACACAGTAAATACGCTGTGTTTATAGAGGATTTTCCATCAAAGCTCTTTAGCGTGTCCCTCTCATCCTTGCTCGTAAGCGTACGCTCACACTGACAGTGCTGGAACTGGCCCAGTCATCGGGAGCAACTGGGATTCAGTGTTTAGTTACAGTATGGTGGTGATTTGGTACGGTGATTTCTTATTTTTCTGATTAATGACCTGGTGGGTTTCAACAACACAGCATGCCTTTTTTCTCTTGAAAAACATATGCATAACTCTGGCCGTCTCTTCACAATAACATGGTAGTCAGTTTGGCTTCTCTCAAACTGTAAATAAACCCACTCACTGTTTTAATCACACTCTTGAGCTTGTTCTGACATATGGCATCGAAACTGAACACTTAATAGTTTTTCCCCATAACCCTCTTCTGTCTGACCATTTTCTAATAACTTTTGAATTTCCATTAATGGATTATACTCTATGTGGGAAACAATTCCACTACAGCAGATGTCTATCTGGCAATGCTGTTACCAAGTTTAAGGAAATAATTCCATCTTTATCTACTTCAGTGCCGTTTGCCAACACAGTGGAAGGAGGCCACCTTAACTTTACTCCCACACAAATCGATAATCTTGTTGATAGTACTGCAGCCTTCCTGCGTAATACACTTATACCATTGCCCCTCTGAAAAGGAAGGCAGTGAAACAGAGAAGGCTAGCCCCATGGTACAGCTCGCAGCTCCGCTCCCTAAAGCAGGCATCACAAAAAATGGAAACGAGGTGGCGGTCCACTAAGCCAGAAGAGTTTTTCATAGCCTGGAAAGATAGTTTAATAACATATAAGAAAGCCCATCATAGTGCCAGAACCGCATTTTATTCATCACTGATTGAGGAAAATAAGAACAACCCCAGGTTTCTTTTCAGCACTGTAGCCAGGCTGACAAAGAGCCACAGTGCTGTTGAGCTTAACATTCCCTTAGATCTCAGCAGCAATGACTTCATGAGCTTCTTTACAAATAAAATCACAACTATTAGAGAAAAAATGGGTCGAACCACTCCCACAGCTCTCGCAGATGTGCCATCTACTACAATGGCTTTAGAAACATCAGT